AATTTAGCTTAAGCAAGACCCTATGCTTTGATCAATGTTCTCATTAACCCAGATCATATTGGCCAAAGCTATTTCCCTGCAATAAATTCAAGCATATGAGATTTAAATAAATGTGTGAAATTCACAAAGATTTGTACTAAAAGGCACTTCTGATGCCTAAAGACCCAAAAAAACTCAGTTCATACTAATTATGAGGCTGATAATAAAGACCCCAACTGAAAAAAAAATTGGTCTTTCCTGAAATGGAGAGCACTGGCCCATATTAACCCAACTTTTATGAGATATAAACACTTTGAGGATCCTTTACCCAGAGATCAATGTGATTTACAACCTTTTAATCATGAGAAGTCCAGTAGAGAAACCTGAGTAAACAGCAAATTTGAGTCAAATCTCCCTTTCAGAAGATGAAACAGAGATACTATGTTTGAATGCAGAAAGCCATCAGAAGCACTGGAAAAACCCAAAATGAAAAACAGGCCTTCTAATTGCCCAGAGCCAGAATGCTACCATCTAGATTAGTTCTACTCAACTTTTCCCTAAAAAACAGCAACAGACATTGAAGTTGAAGAATAGCAACTCAAGAGGAGTTCTTTTTCTAAGCACCAATCATCCTTCCAGTAGATCTTTTCCTTGTATTTGCTAATTTTACTTTTCTAAGTTTAACTTGGTACAATTTGGTCTTTGATTTACCCTCTATGATCTTTATTCCCATATCCCCACCAAAACAATTTAGATACTCAGAGTCCAGAGTTCTAGGAAGATATTATAGCCATCTTTCTTATTTAGGGTGACAGAATACATTGGTATGTTGCATTGCTCTGCATATAGAGAAAAGTGTAAGGGTAAAACATGGTGACGTGGACAAAGTCTGTACTAGTAAATTAGAACTCTGAGTTCCTTGTCTTGGCTGCATGCCATCAACCAAAACAATGGCTGAACACTGAAACACGAACTTGTCTCCAGATCCCCTCACAGCTCACTGGAACCCCTCAAATCTTAATTGCCAGTTTTCATAGTAGGTTTAGGCAAGCCTTCCCTTTCTTCCCTCTCAAAGGGATTAGATTCAGTGATCTCTAAGATTTCTTCCAGCTATTAATGTCTATGGTTCTAAGCATACTACATCATATTTAAAAGTTTATAGATGAACTTGATTTGAAAGAAATGCCTGAAACTCTTCCATTTTTGTTCTAATCATTCTAAATGTCTTCCCAGATCTTATGAGACACAGTCAAGATGGTTGAGCCAGTGAATATGTACATGGTGACCCAAGACATAGGAGACAGGTAAGTTTCAAATGCTTTGTCTGAAGGAAGCAAGTCTGTCCCCTCCTTCTCTCTTCCAGAAAATTCTGGAGACATCAAGAAAGATGGAAGTGGAACCCGATGCACTAAGAATCATCTTGGAAGATTCTGTCTGGAAAAACACTTTACAAAATGGTGCCCTATTATTTTATGTTATGCTTATAAAAAAATTCTGAAAGAAAATATTGTCATTGGTTATTAATGATATCCAGCACCTTACGTACATTATTTCATTTGATTTTCTTTTTCCAATTGTGGTTAAGTGATTTGTTCTGGGTCACACAGCTAGTAAGTGTCAAGTGTTTGGTCTGAGGCCAGATTTGAACTTAGGTCCTCCTGACTTCAGGTCCAGTGCTCTATCCGCTGTACCACCTAGCTGCCCCATTTCATTTGATTTTCAAAGACAAACCTATAAAATGATACGGTGGTTATCAATGACATTTTATAGATTAGTAAACTGAGGCTGAGAAAAATTTAGTGATTTTTCCTGGGTCATCTAACTATTAATGGTCTGACAATTGTACTGGAACCAGTCTTAAACGACTTCTAATTCAGCACTCTGACTCCTTAAGGGTGCTTTAACCTGTTAGCCTGTTTAGAGTGTTTCCCATTCTAATAGAGAAAATAGAAAAGAAAAGAATTGCAGACAACAGGAAAAACACTAAATCTTTCAGTAAAAAACAAAACTTTCATTAAGTACAATATAAAACTACTCACACCAACAGTCAGCAGCTCACAGCACTGAAATCAGTAGTTAGAAGACTGTAATGGAACAGGGCATATCCTAATATGGGGGCAGGGGAGGAGGGTGGTGGTAGATAAGGTATACTTTAAAAAATTATTTTTATCTTTCCCATGATATTATAGAACCATAGAACATTATATTTGGAAGTGAACATCTAACCCAACTCCTTTATTTTACAGATAAGAGATGTCTAAAGTGTTGAGAGTGGCTAGAGGAGTCAAAAAAGGAAAAAAGACAAAATCATACCCATTTGGGGGCTATTCTATATTTAAGACCCAGGGTTAATCCCATTTTGAGAGAGTAGGAAAAGAGGTACAGTTTCCAAATTTATGTAGCTACTACTTAGCTCTCATCTAATAATGCTAAATACTAAATTTATAAATTTACAAATGCTAAATACCAAAATTATTCCCTGGGAGGAAATGGAATACAATGGACCTTGTATAGGTTATATTAGTGTGCATTTTTTGTTATAATTCATTAGTTTGTCAAACTATTTATGTATATATATATGTATTATATATATATATATATATATATATATAAAATATGTTTGAACAAAACATCCCCTTTTCTCTTTCATTGGCTACTGTTACAAACTACGCTTTACAGAATTGATCATTTTTTTCCTGGATGCTGAACCGTAATTTAATTTTCTCAATAAATTGTTACCAATTGTGAGGCTTTTTAATGTATTCTAAATATATTCATTATCTTTGGAAAGCCCTCTTCTCTGAAATTCCTTTACTTTGGGTATTCTAACATCAAATTAATTAGCTATCACACTGAAATTAAAAAAATCTGGATGACTCTGTGGAGCTCATTAAGTCACTGGACATGACTGCCCACCTGGACTTAGGAAGAACTGAGTTCAAACCTGACCTTCTGTGACTGAGCAAATTACTTAACTCCTCTCTGCCTCAATTTCAGCATCTGTAAAATGGGGGTAATAATAGCACCTACATCTCAGGGTTGTTATGAGGACCAAATGAGATAATAGTTGCAAAGTGTTTAGAATAGTGCCTAGTATATAGTAAGCTCTTTATAAATGTAAGTTACAATTACTATATAGAAGGTATGGGAGGGGTAAAAAGGAGAGTAGAAGATAAGATTAGGGAAAAGGTGATTAATTTTGACAATACCATGAACCCAGAAACTGCAGCAAAGGAATGCACTACAATAAATAAATAAATATATAAATATATACACACAATACATACACATACACACTATATATATATATGTGTGTGTGTGTGTGTATATACAGATACATAGATACATATATGAAACTTTCTATATATGTATATATATACATGCATATTGTATAATATATAGAGCTAGGATTTGATAATACGGGTCATCTGATTCTACATTCAATACGCAAATAGCATTCTCTTACATATAAGTCTGTATACACAGGTAAAGAGAATTAAAAAGGTGATAATACACACACAATTGGTTGTATTGGATAGAATTTGAATGTGTTCTAAATTTGAGATTCTATAAAGTGGTTTATTCTTTCTCAAACTAGTTTTGATATAACAATTCTGCATCTGAACTTTTGAAGGTTATTTACCTGTAAATCTTTTAGGTTTAACACTGATATATTTTCACATGAAAACTAGTTTTAGATTTAGGAACCATGAGAGGTTCAGAAACGTAATTAGAAATTGCCACCTACAACTGCCAAAAGGTGGGGGGAGGGGATATTTTAAACCGAGGAGCTCTCTGAGGAAACCTAGAGTCCCTCATGGCAAACAAATCCGGCACTGTGGGTCAGGAAGGTAAAAGAATGAACAGTTTAGTTCATTCATGTCTTCAGGATCCTTTGCAAATGAACAAAAAGTGACTGCAACATGCATTAGCCCAGATATTACTACTACCCACTAAAGCCAACCCTGAAATTGCAATTTCCTTCCTCATGTTTAAAGACTGCTTCAGCAGACAAGAGCCCTTATTAACTTCCATAAAAGACTGGGTCAAAAAGTACTACCAGATTTAAAAAAAAAAAAAATCGGTGCAGCTGAGAAGTATTTTAAAATGAGATCTAATTTCAGAAATGAATCGGAGTTCAAAGTTGGAGTCTGGAGCAGAGGAAAAGGCAGGGAACTACGCCGATTTCACAGCGCCAACAAATGGCACCGGGACGGGTTTTGACAAACATGTGCTGGGCGCTTCCCTTTAAACTAGATGAATGCAAAAGGTTTTGTTTTACATGCACTGGACTGGTTTCTTCGCTTGTAATGCAGCTCCCGTGAACAAGAATAGTAGCAGAGGGGAAGGGGGGGGGGGGAAAGAGGGAGAGGACAGGAAGAAGACAAGCTACAATCCAAGCCTTGGAGAAAGAAATAAAATAAAGGTCGGAGGGTTGAAGGAGGGGTAGAGTCTCCACTCCAGCCAGCTGGGTCGCCAAGGAGAGAAACCGCGGTGGTGGGAAGCGAGGCAGCCTAACAGAAAACAAGCCCTGTGGTGAGGGTTGTTCTTGGCAAGAGGTAAGTGTTACAGGCTGCTTCCTGGGGCGCGGGGAGGAATGTGTCACCATCAATCAGCCCATTGATCTCCAAGTTTAAGTCCTCTGGGCAAGGCGAGGCGCATACAATACAGAGAAAGGAGATTTTGCTGCATGCCATCTCAGGATCAAAAAAGAAAGCACAAAGAGGAGACAGAAGAGGAAGGGACCAGAAGAGGCATGTGCGACCTAGGGACAGGAAGACTGAATGAAAGCCTCCAAGATAGGCATCATGTGGGTATTTTACTTAGAGCTCCAAGATCTGGAGTTGACCAGGTTTCCTAAGAGTAAAGAGTTGCATACATCACCTGGGTGGTGAAACCCACCCCACCCACCTCCAGAAGAACGGTCCCTTCTGCAGCAGCCGGGGCAGACCTTGAGGCTGGGGAGGCTGGGGGAGTGTATGCATGAGCTCCCCCTCCCCGGGAAGGTGGGGAACACTCACCTGTGGGGATGATGGAGGGCTTCTGGGCTTCTGCAGCAGCGCAGGGCTTCACGAGGTGTAAGGAGAGGGCCAAGAGGAGGATGGGGGGCTTGAGTTTATCTCTCGCCATCTTCGCCCCTCCCGAGAGAGAGGACCAGCTCGGGTCTGCGAGGAGCAGCCGGAGCAGCCCGGGAGCTCTCCTACGCCCCCCTACCCCCCTCCTCTGCTGTACTTCTCGCGAGACAAGGGCCCCCTACCCCACCCCACCCCACCCCCAAGTCCGCCCGCCCGCCCGTCTGACAGCTGCTGGAGTCCAGCTGTTCAGCCTCTGGGTGGGGTGCGAGAGTCGGGCTGCAAGCGTTGTGCACCCCTCGGATCGGAAGCCCAGAGTGGGAGTGGGGAGTGAAGGATATGGGGACGGGGCGGATAGGTAGAGGGGGATGACTCAGTCCTGTCTGCAAAAGGTAGAAATATCTCCCCCAGCCTTGCTGGGTGTAATAGGAGGTGAAGGATAAGGTCCAACCTCCGGATTCACTGCGGGAGGGTAATTTATAACTTTCCCGGGCGGGGGTGGGAGGGGTCAGAGCCTGGGCTGCCCATCCCCTCCCTCCTCCTCCCCCTCCCCCTCCCCCTCCCCCTCCCCCTCCCTGTTCCGTTCCACCTCCTCCCTCCCGGCTATTGGCCGCTGGACTGACACTGAAGCGTCTGTGTAAGTTTCTCCGGGTGCCCGCCTGGGCGGTCGGTGGGTGGGTGGGTGTGGGGCATGTCTGTCTCCCTCCCATTCACTTTCCATTCCCCGTGTCTGGGTTGTGTTTGCTCACTGCGGACAATATTTAAAGAACTGGAGGCAGCTACGTGTAGCAGAGCACGCAGATCTGCCTGGACTCAGGGAAGCAATTCTGAATGCCTGGGGAGGAGAGTGAAAAAGGGGGGTAGGGGGGAGGGCGAGTAGAGACTGGCTTCTCTCTAGGTCGGTGTGAGTGGGATCAGATGGGAATTTACAGTTTTCTGGATTTTAGCAGGCCCATACTGGACCAGAATTCAGAGGATCTGAAAGGATCATTTTTTTTTTTAACCCAACTCCCTCCTGAAGAAACTGCGGCGCAGAAAGGTGAAGTAACCTGCCCAAGGCAAAGTTAGGATCTGAACTCAGAGCTCTTAATTCCTAATTCGGGACTTTTTGCACACTGCCCAACAAGTTTCCATTCGAGTCCCCAGTCCTAGCAGCCTTGACTGAATTGGATGGGACCCAGGTAGTTTTCATGCTTTGTTTAGTCCAGGGGGCAAAGTTTCATCACCCTATACAAGAAAATGTTTGACTTGTGTTTAAATCTGTGTAAAATGAAACTTTTATTGTCTCATGAACATTTCTTCTTCCCACTTTCTACCCTCAATAAGGAAACTTACAAATTCAGAAGGCTTTGAAAACTGTGGAATCCCTTAAACGTTTTCAGCTCTTTGTGTAAAATTTCTCCGAAAGGGAAAAAAAAAATCACCTGGAGTCGTCCTTCCTTTCCTGATGCTTCTTGTTATATTCCACGTTTAAATAAAGTTGTAACTGCCTGTCACTTAGCTTATTATAGCTTACATTCTCTTCTAGTCCAAGGCACATTTTATAAGCATGGGCACATGACAATAGAATGATCTATAAGGGTAAACCGCGGAAGTTTTCCAAGAGAAGAGCAAGTTATAGATACAGTCCCCGAAATCAGTTAAAAAACACATATAGTACTTAGAAAAAGACAATCTACTTATTTTCACATCTTAGTAAAAAAAAAAGTCAATAGGGCCTAAAATAAAAATATTAAATTGAAATGTAATTAATAACTAAGAAACTACCCAGGGAGAGGCAAACAGCAGCAACACAAGAAAATATCTATAAGAATCCCTTTATTGGTATGATCATTGTTAACAGCGTTAATGCCTTTGTTTGTTCCAGGTATCCTAAAAGGGATAAGGAAAATCTAAAGATTCAGAGAAGTATAAAAGTGAAAGGGTCTTGGGGTCTATGGAATGAACAAACACACACACACACACACACACACACACACACACACACACAGAGCCTGTGAAGAAAAAAAAAGAAATCATGGTCCTTTAGTCTGGAGTTGGAAAAGCTGAGGAATCGATGGCTTCACAACATGTTTCAGCTGGACAGTCAGCAGAGTTTCTTCATCCTGCTCAGGAGTGCAGCTCTTGCTGACTTTTCATGCCCCTTAACTTCCGGACCCATTTCTCCTTGCTTTATCTCGCCTTAGTGCCTCCATGGACTTCAAGTCAGAACACCTGGCTTTGGGTTCTAGTCCTCCATTTTTTTTTTATTATCAATTTGGCCTTCGCCAATTCATTACCTCATCTGAAAAATTTGTATTTTAAATTTTTGGTGCCTTTTTCACAGGGTAGTGGTGAAGACCAAATTCTAAAAAAAAAAAAAAAAAAAAATACCTCATAAATGCAAACTATCCTCATTAGCCCTCCTGTACTTAGACATGTAGGATGTGCTAAGCAAGTTGGTGTAATAGACAAAGAGTTCTGGGTTTGGAGACAGAGGATGTGGGGTTTTAATCCAATACTGGCTCTGCTATTTATGATGTTTGATTTGGAGCAAGACACTTTAAGTCTCTGGACCTCATCTTAAAAAAAAAAAAAAAAGAGGTAATGGATCCAGATCAGACCATCTTTTAGTCTTTTAGATCCTGCTAAGCTCTAAAGCAGATATGCTTAACTTGGGGTCCATGACACGGGCTTATTTGTTGCTGTTTTTTAATCTTTTCAGTATTTGATTTTTCCCCAGTTACGTGTAAAGACAATTTTAAATTTTTTTTTAATTTTGAGGGTCTTATTAATTTAAAAATCTTTTGATAAATATATTTCAGTATAATTGATTTATAATACTAAGCATTTTATTTTATGCATTTAAATACATCATTTTGAGAAGGGGTCCCATAAGCTTCACCAGATTACCAAAGGGGTCCATGATGCAAAAAAAAAACAAAAAAACAAAAAAAAAAAGCTTATAAGCCCTACATCTAAATCCTATGCTCCCGTGACCTTTCCTGGGAGCTAGACTTCTGGTCCCAAGTCTCCTGGCCAGCTGTGCCAAGTATACCCTACAGTACAATGTTCACAGCTGCCTGTTCTGTTGTTTTTCAATCCCAATCCTATGAAGAATTCCAAGTGATCATTTTTTTTTTGTTTGTTTGTTTGTTTTTCTTTTTTCTTTTCTACTCATTACTGTGTTAAAAACCACGTCAGGAATGTGCTAATCATCTGCTTCTTTAGAGTTTTCTAAAAGCTAGTCTCCTTCCTCAAAAAGGCTTCATTCAACCTCCATTTAAAAGCAAAATCTTTGCTTGGGGAGTCCTCTATCTCTGACTGCCTACGGGACATTCTGTCCTCATGACATTTTTTGCATATATCCTTCTCCCCTCTCATCACCCACTCATCTTCCACTCTAGGTTCGGGCTTGGACTATCGAAGCAGCCTGCTGCTTGGTCTCCCGGCTTTCCACTCAGCTATTAAGTTGATCTTCCTAAAGCACTGGCCTGACAATATCACACCCTCAGTACCCCTCGTAGACCTTTAATAAATGTTTGATGAATAAAAACATAATGCTTTATACTTGTATAGCATATTTTGCTCTTCATAGCCATGTGAGGCAGACAGGACTTAATTATTCTCCTCACTTTACAGATGAGCAAACTTGCCCAGGGTCACATCGTTAATAAAAAGAGGAATCATAAATGGAACTCAGGCTTTCTGGTTCATGATCTAGAATGCTTTTCCAACTCCATGGTTTCCTCTTTCTCCAGTATTTCAGAGGAGGATGGATACTTTTGAATGAATGTTAAGCAAATTTTCACAAAAGAGATTTGATTCAATCTGGGCCTTCAAATAAAGAGTCTAATTATGATTGAGAAAAAGAGAGACCAAGGAAGCCGGGGAGAATGGGAGGCATAGAGTTAGAAAAATTCAAGGTGTATTTTAAGGAATAGTGAGCAACAGAGTAGCTCTTTCATGTAGGATTTTTTGGTAGATAAGGCTGGAAAGAAAAATTGGGGCCAGGCTGTGTAGAGGCTTGAAATGCCAGGTTCAAGAGTTTGGATTTCATTCTGTAGGCAATGTGGAACTATAAAAAAAATTTGAGCAAGGAAGTGACAGGATCAAAAGAGAACATCAGGAAGATTTATCTCTCAGTGGTGTGTAGGCCGGATTGAGGTTAGTGCAATAGTTCAGACATGAGGTAATAGGGCCTGATTAGGGTATTTGCAGAAGAGACAGATGGGAAAGACAGGGGAATCAACTGGAATGAGAGATGGAGGGTGGAGGGGTAAGGGAAACATCATAAATGACTTGGAGGGATGAGGCCTAGGTGATTACGAGATTGGTCATACCATTAACAGGAGTACGGGGAGACAAGAAGAGACCCTGAGGAGTGAAAGGGATAAAGGTTGTGTTAAGTTAAATGTACCAATAAGATATTGAGATCAAGTCAAGTCAGTGTACATTTATTAAGCATGTACTATGTGCAGGCACTGTGCTAAGCATTGGAAATACAGAAAAGTACCTCTCTCAAGAAGTTCAAAGTCTAATGGGAGAGATGGCATGCTGTGTATAAGCTATAAGTATATACATAGCTTATATGTGCATGTATGTGTAAAAATGTACAAACAAGATGTATCCAGGATAAATTGGGGATAGTCTGAGAAAAAAAAGGCATTATATTAAGGAGAACTGGGGAAATGATACTTGGAGAAAGTGAGACTTAAACTGAGATTTGAAGGAAGCCAGGAGGCAGAGATAAGGAAGGAGAAAATGCCAGCCATGAAGGACAGCCAGTCTTGGAATCAGGAGATAATGTGTCTTGTTTGAAGAATATTAAGGAGGCCTAGGCCACAGGATTGAAGAGTAATTGGAGGGAAAAAGGGGTAAGAAGACTGGAAAGGTAGGAAAAGATCAGGTTATAAAAGACTTTAAAAGCCAAATAGAATTTTATATCTGATCCTGGAGGTAATAGGAAGCCACTGGAGTTTATTTCTTTTACTACTTACATAGCACTGGGATTAATAATAGCTATAATAATGATAATTGCTAATATTTATGTAGTTGACAATGTTCTTTACATGCCTAATTTCATTTGATCCTCGCAATAACCCTGTGAGGTAAGCATTGTAGGTTTATTAGTAGGTTGACATTTATCATATAAGATCTTATACTATAGGGTTTTTTAATG